GACGAGAGCCAAACAAAGTAAACACGGTATTGTAGATGACGAGAATCAAACAAAGTCAAAACACGGTATTGTAGATGACGAGAGCCAAACAAAGTAAAAACACTTCATTGTAGATGACGAGAGCCAAACAAAATAAACACTGTATTGTAGATGACGAGAACCAAACAAAGTAAACACTGTATTGTAGATGACGAGAGCCAAACAAAGTAAACACTTTATTGTAGATGACGAGAGCCAAACAAAATAAACACTTTATTTTAGATGACGAGAGCCAAACAAAGTAAACACTTTATTGTAGATGACGAGAGCCAAACAAAATAAATACTGTATTGTAGATGACGAGAACCAAACAAAGTAAACACTTTATTGAAGATGACGAGAGCCAAACAAAGTAAAAACACTGTATTGTAGATGACGACAGCCAAACAAAGTAAACATTGTATTGTAGATGACGAGAGCCAAACAAAGTAAAAACACTGTATTGTAGATGACGAAAGCCAAACAAAGTAAACACTGTATTGTAGATGACGGGAACCAAACAAAGAAAACACTTTATTGTAGATGACGAGAGCCAAATAAAGTAAACACTGTTTTGTAGATGACGAGAGCCAAACAAAGTAAAAACACTGTATTGTAGATGACGAGAACCAAACAAAGTAAACACTTTATTGTAGATGACGAGAGCCAAACAAAGTAAACACTGTTTTGTAGATGACGAGAGCCAAACAAAGTAAACACTTTATTGAAGATGACGAGAGCCAAACAAAGTAAAAACACTGTATTGTAGATGACGAGAACCAAACAAAGTAAAAACACTGTATTGTAGATGACGACAGCCAAACAAAGTAAACATTGTATTGTAGATGACGAGAGCCAAACAAAGTAAACACTTTAATGTTGATGACGAGAGCCAAACAAAGTAAAAACACTTTATTGAAGGTGACGAGAGCCAAACAAAGTAAAAACACTGTATTGTAGAAGACGAGAACCAAACAAAGTAAAAACACTGTATTGTAGATGACGAGAACCAAGCAAAGTAAACATTGTATTGTAGATGACGAGACCCAAACAAAGTAAACACTGTATTGTAGATGACGAGACCCAAACAAAGTAAACACTGTATTGTAGATGACGAGAGCCAAACAAAGTAAAAACACTTTATTGAAGGTGACGAGAGCCAAACAAAGTAAAAACACTGTATTGTAGAAGACGAGAACCAAACAAAGTAAAAACACTGTATTGTAGATGACGAGAACCAAACAAAGTAAAAACCCTTTATTGTTGATGACGAGAGCCAAACAAAGTAAACACTGTATTGTAGATGACGAGAGCCAAACAAAGTAAACACTTTATTGTTGATGACGAGAGCCAAACAAAGTAAACACTGTATTGCGCCATGTGGCCATTTTGCCCAGGTATGCTTAAACGGTGGTAATAAGTCAAATCAATGAAAATATTCAGGTTTTACATTTGTATCTATGATAAGAGAACAACGTAGTTAATACAAAAATCACGAATCACTTTCATGTCAAATTCATTTAAAACGATACTTTATAAAGAAGATAAGAGCTAAGCTGAATATTATTCGGTGTCTAGACCGTACGGACTGGTCCCTGTGGTGGTGTTAAATGTAGACAAGGGCTTGTGTTAACTGTTGTTACTTGGCTCAAGTCCTCACCTCAGAAAATCATTATACAATAAACGGATAAGAATTATTGAGAACCGCAGACCACTGTCGATGTACCCTGTGTTTCCTAGACAAGGACTTATGTCAACACCGTGTTGTCATTATCAATCAGCACATACTTATGTCAATAACGTGTTGTCATTATCAATCAGCACGTACGTATGTCAACAACGTGTTGACATCATCAATCAGCACCTACTTATGTCAACAACGTGGTGTCATCATCAATCAGCACGTACTTATGTCAACAACATGTTGTCATCATCAATCAACACGTACGTATGTCAACAACGTGTTGACATCATCAATCAGCACATATGTATGTCAACAACGTGTTGTCATCATCAATCAGCACGTACTTATGTCAACAACGTGTTATCATCATCAATCAACACGTACTTATGTCAATAACGTGTTGTTATCATCAATCAGCACCTAATTATGTCAACAACGTGTTGTCATCATCAATCAGCACCTACTCATCTGAAGACAGTAATAAATCAACAAAATGGTTTTCTCACCTTTAGGTACTTTGTCCCGTCATCTCAATAACATTAACAGTGCGTTGACAATTCATGTGAGAAATTTAATACGAAACCAAACGTATCTGAGAGCAGTGATATCACAATCATATATCAGGAATTACTACAGCTGAATTTCTACGTTCACCCTTGAAGATTGAATTTGTCAATGACCTTTCCACCCTGCCCTTTGACCTACCCTCTGTTCCTTGTCGGGTCGGAGTTCACTGTAGAGTAGAATGACCTGACACGGGAGCCAGCAGACACCGAACACGACCAATATAACAACCAACATCATAATCACCTGAAAACAATATGGTAGTCATACAATAACCTACAAAAGGGGAGGGTAACATTACAATAACCTACAAAAGGGGAGGATAACATTACAATAACCTAAAATAGGGAAGTATAACATAACGACAACCAACAATAGGGGAGGGTAACATTACAATAACCTACAAAAGGGGAAGGTAATATTACAATAACCTACAATTTAGGAGGGTAATATTACAATAACCTACAATTTGGGAGGGTAATATTACAATAACCTACAAAAGGGGAAGGTAATATTACAATAACCTACAAAAGGGGAAGGTAATATTACAATAACCTACAATAGGGGAGGGTAACATTTCAATATCCTACAATTTGGGGGGGTAACATTGCAATAACCTACAATAGGGGAAGGTAACATTACAATAACCTACAAAAGGGGAGGGTAACATTCGTATAACCTACAATAGGGAAGGGTATCATTATAATAACCTACAAAAGGGGAAGGGAAACATTACAATAACCTACAATATGGGAGGGTAACATTACAATAACCTACAATAGGGATGGGTAACATTCCAATAACCTAAAATAGGGATAGGTATCATTATAATAACCTACAAAAGAGGAGGGTAGAATTACAATAACCTACAATAGGGGAGGGTAACATTACAATAACCTACAAAAGGGGAAGGTAAAATTACAATAACCTACAATTTGGGAGGGTAATATTAAAATAACCTACAATAGGGAAGGATAACATAACGACAACCAACAATAGGGAAGGGAACATTATAATAACATAAAAAAGGGGAAGGGAAACATTACAATAACCTACAATAGGGAAGTATAACATAACGACAACCAACAATAGGGAAGGGTATCATTATAATAACCTACAAAAGGGGAAGGGTAACATTACAATAACCTACAAAAGGGGAAGGTAATATTACAATAACCTACAACAGGGGAGGGCCACATAACAATAACCTACAAAAGGGGAGGGTAACATTTCAATAACCTACAATAGGGGAGGGTAACATTACAATAACCTACAAAAGGGGAGGGTAACATAACAATAACCTACAAAAGGGGAAGGTAATATTACAATAACCTACAATATGGGAGGGTAACATTACAATAACCTACAAAAGGGGAGAATAACATTCCAATAACCTTCAATAGGGAAGGGTATCATTACAACAACAAAGTACAATTACTGAATGGTAAACTTAGAAGAGTGTGGACTTGGTACATATTCAAATAAAAAACAGATTATGGTAAATCAAAAATGGAATTTCATTGAAAAACTACAAAATATGGATACATGATTGAAGTTGTAAGCATTTATTTTTTTCAATCCTCAGAGTAAATCACTCATAAAATATGTCAAAATTAATGTAGCAATGTAGCAGTATGCATTTTTATATTTGCATTTGTTGTAGTTGCAAGTTCTGTTCAAAGATATAGATAACATACGTAAGGTGGCTTATTATTCTACTTACTGATATTACATATTTTTGTATGTTTTGAATGTGACAACAAAAATTTGAATACAAAACAAAACATTACAAC